GGATGAGAGTGATGATTATGGGTAGAGGTGCCAAAACCTCCACCTAAAGATGATGTCAAGTCATTGATTTGAAGCAAAAAGGGAAAGGAAACGCAAGAGCTCTGTGACTATTGCTTTGAAAGCAAAGAAGAAAAGAGTCCATTTTATCGAATGTACAAAAACACATGTTTGAAGATAGAAAGTGCAAGCAGAGATAGGATCTCTAGTGCATCCGCCACCTCGCCTTCTCCCACTAATGTTGTCCCCACTATTGGAGAGGCTATGAAGATGGTCAAGAGTGTGGGGTGGAAGAAGGAACTCCTCTAATGCACACCGCCACCATGCCGATCATGAAGCCTAAATTTAGAGAGGTCTTCACCATCCTAAAACAAACAAAGGAAGGCCGGATGTCCTTGAGAGAGAGCATGAGAAGGAGATGAGGCGCTAGTGAACCAATTTTTATTTCTATTGTTGTTTGTGTGAACCATTAAGAATTTGTATTGTGAGCACTATTAGTTGTATGGCTACCTGAACCAATTTTAAATTGTACTCTGAGAACAATTTGCTTGTACTGAGAACAATTTATACTAAAATTATTTGTATTGTGAGCTTATTATCCTTCATCGATTAGTATCCATGTGCATGTATACATATATTTTTGTCCTTGTATCTTTGTGAGCTTATTATCATTGTGTCGATATATATCCTTGTACCGAGCTTAATAAATGTTAATATTTTTTGTAGATGGATGAGAACTCGGAAGGTGTAGCCCAAGGACGTAAGAGATTGCTACTCCTAGTCGAGCTTTCCCAAAGATGTCGCCATTATTGGTCAAATAGGTGCACAATACACTCGATTGTTATTGGAACAAAGGAGAGTACAGAGAAACCCGAAACCGGACTGCAATGGGTGATGAGGTGCTTTTCTCGTCCAAGGTACTTCTATAAGATGTTTCAATGAGCACCGATGTCTTCATTCATGGCACCGCATGAGTTGCTAGTCTTGAACTATGGTTTGACCTCCACTAACAATGTTTCATCCATTGAGTCATTAGCGATGTTCTTGTGGATTGCTCTGAGGACCGCAATCATTTTCACAAGTGGAAAATCGCTTCACTTTCGTTCACGTGTGATGCATCCACACTAAGTTTCATGAGGTGTTTGAAGTGTTTGCGCAAGTTAGGTAAAGACAATATTAAGCCAAGAGATGCTACTTTTCTTCGAACATGAAAGAATCAAAGAAGACCGTTTCTGGCCATACTTCAAAGGCGCTATTGGAGCAATAGACGGTTCACATGTTCTAGTGGTTGTGCCAGCTGAGGATACGGTTAATCACACATGCCGTCATGGATATACATCTCGAATTTGCTAGTGCTTGCGACTTTGACATGAGGTTTATCTTTGCGGTTGTTTGGTTGGCCTTAAGTTGTGCCCATGACACACGTATCCTCAATCATGCTTTGGCAAATTTTGATGATTTTCCTGTGCCTCCTAAAGGTATACACATATCACACGTATTATGTATTTGCTTCCTAATGGTTGGACCAAGAAAGACGTGAGGTACTTGTATTATTTATTTGCTTACATTGATTTTACTTTGTAGGAAATATTATCTTGTGGACTCGGATATCCAAACCGAATGTATCTCGCCCCTTTCAAAGGAAGCACATACCATATTCCGAAATTTCATAATCGCTTCGACCACCCCAAGGGAAATATGAGGTGTTCAATTTCAATCATTCATCCCTTCAAATGTCATTGAGCGGGCCTTTGGAGTATTGAAGGAGAAGTGGCGTATTTTGAAGGGCATACCAAGTTTCTCAACTCAGTACTCGTAAGCACATCATTCTTGCTTGTTTGGCATTGCATAATTTTATTCGTGATAGCAATTTGCATGATAAGGAGTTCGAAAGATGTGATGATGATGATGAATACTTGGTACAAGAGGATGACACGACACCGGAAGATGAGATTGAAGATGTGGAGAATGAGGATGCCATGAATATCATTCGTAGTAGAATAGCCGATGCTTTGTTTAGTGTGAGATAGTTATGTTGAGGAATGACATGATTTGATGAGCCCTTATCTTTTGTAAAATGCTAATATTATTATATTTGTATGGACCAAATCACTTTGAATACTAAAAAACTTGGAACAAATTTATTTTTCCTTACCAAAATAGTCATTTACATACAAATAAGTGAGTACAATATTTATTTACAAGCAATTTGAATATAAATAGTCCCTCGTGCCTTTAAGGGCATTACGAGACATTTCTACACATCCTGCGGTTTCACAAATTGCTCTAACCAAACTGCTTTCACTTTTCCCATAGCTCTCAAATTTCACAAAGACTTTTCCACCAAATTTCACACTCACACAAAGCAGCCTTTTTTTAAATCCACAACTACTCAACCAAACAGGGCCTTAGTACTCCATGCATGTACCATAAGTTTGATGTGACGAATTTTTTTTTTGCATAGTATCAAAGTTGGTATTTTGGATGAACTAAACAGGGCCTTGGGAGCGTTGGGCTCGTCCTCGACAAAGGCGGCAGCTGGGGACCAGGATCGAGGTCGAGGTGATGGGAACATCCGCATCAGAAAGTGCTAGAATTGAGGCCATGTTTATTTTCTCTCCTAAAACTTTACACCGTATCATATCGAATGTTTGATACATGCATGTAGTATTAAATATAGACTAAAAAATAACTAATTATATAGTTTACGACTAATTTACGAGACGAATCTTTTAAGCCTAATTAGTTCATGATTTGATAATAAAGTGCTATAGTAACACATGCGCTAATGACGGATTAATTAGACTTAATAAATTTGTCTCGCGGTTTACTGACGCATTCTGTAATTTGTTTTTTATTAGTATCTAAACACCATATGCGATACCCTATATGACACTCAAAACTTTACACCTTAGAACTAAATAAGGCCTTAGTTTGGTTTATGGCCACCAACGTTGGCCTGTGCCTGTCAACCCGGGTTCATCAAGAACAAACATAGATAATAGGTTTTTTATTAGGACTCTAAACATTGTGCTTCGCATATTTATGACTTCAAAGATTGGCTTCACAAAATTGATACTTATATCGTTGACACCCTAAATGTTACCTGGTGTCGGTACAGAAAGTGTTCAACTAGTGAATATTTATAGTTTTGCCGTACGTTGTGATCGGAGGTGGCCTAGCAGTCAATGACGCAGGATATATACTGGTTCAGGCAACGTGCCCTACGTCCAGTCTGGGTCAGTCGGTGACTTTATTCCTAAGCCCAGGTGCTCGAAGTCCGTAGTGGGGTTACAAACGAGAAGGAGAGAGGATGGGTGTACGAGAGGCCCAGTCGGGTCCGACCGAAAGGGCCGAGGTCGACCGGAACTCCGCTATGAGCTAGGTGTTCAAGCGTGTGCTCGAGGGGTTTTTGAACTATCGATCTAGTGAGCCTGAACTTAAAGAAGTGGACCTCTGGAAAATCGATCCCTTTGTTGGAGGGAGCGCATCCCATTTTATAGAGAAAATGGATGGCTTTACAGGTGAGAGGGAGAGAGTACGGATGTTTCTAAGTCTTGTTGCCCACGTCGATGAGAACAGTGATGATGGTAGGCGCCCACAATACTGTTGATGTCACTGTAGAACGTTAGGTGCACAGGGAGGTTGCGTTGGCTTCTTCAGGAAGGGTGGACATCGGTGCCTGTAAAATACTATTAGTATGTGAGGAGCCCCACCATGTGTGCCAGGTATGGTGAATCCTGGTGCCCACTATCGATGCCCAGAGGCATGTGGGAGGCTTTTTGCCGTACGGGAGTCCACCGGCGCCTACAATACTGTAGACGAAAATGTCGGCGCCTACAATATTGCTTGCGTCAGGGTGGTCGTGGAGCACTGTTTTCGTAGGAGTACAGGGTATGGTCCCGGTGTCGTGATTTTGACTTTGTGCGCTGCCTTCTCCGCTCGCCCCTGGTCCCTTCCGAGCAAGCGTCCCTAGTCGGATGGCTCCAGTCAGAGAAGAGCGTTACGCAGGCTTCCTCCAGGTCTCCGGTCGGAGTCGCGGGGTCGGAGTAGGAAGCGGCGTTTTGGGCCAGGCTTTCCGATCGGAGGGACCGCCTGGAGGCGGCCGGTGCCCTAAACGAGCGCTTCGGTCGGAGAGGTGGGCCGAAGACGAGTGGGCGTTTGTTCTTTTGGGTAGACCTCCCAGTCGACGACCGGACTGTCCTCCCGGCCCGCTGTTTTTTGCTCTTGGGCCGGCCCAAGGGCTACATGCTGTTTTTCCTGGGCCGAGCCCTGACGCGGAAGCCGGTCCCCGAGGGACCCCGGGTTTATGAACCCGACACCAGGAGTCTGACAACATCAGATTTATAATTTTTGGATAGCTCTATAAATATATATTGAATTTACAAGTTTACACCATTCACAGCATTTAGGGAACAAGATAACATAAACTTATCAAGTTTGAGGACATGAATCAGTGATTTACATGTTTAGAGACCAGGATGACATAGCCGAACAAGTTTGAGAACCTAAACGAGCGATGAGTTTAGGGACCGAGATGATACAACTGAACAAGGTTGAAGACCTAAATAGTCGATTTGCAACTTTAGGGATCGGGATGACATAGCCGAATAAATTTAAAGAACGCCAGCGGACTTTACTCTAAAATATTTTATGTTTGTTCAAGCTTACAGAGAAGACATGTATGACAATAAAAAATTTAGTATGAAAATATATTTTATAATAAATTTATTGTAAATGATTATTTTTATTAATTTAGCTAAAGTTAAAATTGTTTGATTGGGTAAAATAAGAATGGCATTTTTAGGCGGAGATGCAGTATATATATTTATTTTATTATTACTCTTTCCCTCCGAGCCTAACCATTCTCTATATACCCCTCTCCCCTCCCCTCCCCTCCCCTCCGCCCCTGCTCTCAGATCTGCACGGCAACCCAACAAGAAGATGTGGAGTGAGTCACTAGCTAGGCCTCCTCTAGATGCTTAGGTTTCTTCCATGTAGACATGGTGGCTCAGATGATGAGTTCATCGCTGGGAGCCATGGGGCCCCTTCTTTCGAACCTGCAGACTCTGATGGTCTCTCCCGAGCATCAGCTGCCAAATCCACTGATGGAAGAGATCGAGCTTTTGAAGCAAGATTTGGAAACAATCAACACCTGCCTCATCAATCTTTCCAGGTCAGAATCTCCCAACAGGATGGCTATGCACTGGATGAATGAGGTGCGCGACCTTTCCTATGACATGCAGGATTATATTGACAGCATGATGCACCCCAACAAGATGTCTGATTACCAGATGAATCAGAACATCTTATCTGTAGTCAAGAAATTCAGGAGTCTTGTGAAGCAGGCCAGTGAACGCCATGAGAGTTACGAGCTATGGCGTTGGGCATCAAATCCTAGCTACAGTATGGCCAGCAATGGCCAAGACCCCGTTTTAACACCTAACGGGAAGGCCAAACAACTTGTTGGTATAGGTGAATCAACGGATAAACTTATCAAGTTGTTAAATACAGACAGCAACGATGCTGGTGCTCAGGGACATCTGAAAGTAGTATCCATTCTTGGACCTGCTGGTGTTGGTAAGAGCACGCTTGCGAAAGAAGTATACCGAGAAATTGGAGCACGGTTCGAATGTCTAGCCTTTGTGCGGGTGTCAAGGATGCCTGATACAAGGAGGCTACTCCGGAGCATCATCTCTCAAGTCCAGTGCCATCAGCGTCCTCTGTATGGTCGCAGCGTGCAAGACCTCATTGACAACCTCAGAGAACATCTTCAACAGAAGAGGTATATACATGTTAATAATCTTGTGTTGCCTCCTGTTTCTTTAATTTCAGATACTCGTAGTACATATTCATAGTCGAATACTAGTACCATGCAGTTCCTTTGCTTGTGGGCCACAAAATCAAAAGTAGAATTTCAAGTTCGAATTCATTCTTTTTCCTAAAATTTCTGATCCATTCTATGAATGGATAGAACGAGAAATTCTGAAATCGATGCTGGATGTTACTAAATGTTTTTCCTAGAACAAAACATATTGGAAAATAGGGATGTGCCTTCCAATATTTTCTTAGAAGGAACTCACTGCCCATGGGCCATGGTGCTACCAACTCCCCATAAGAGGATTTCTAAAACTTAGTCAACAAGCGGTGGAGATAGGGCCGGTGCTGCTGGCCTGACAGAAAAGCCATTTATAAGATGCTGCTTTTTGACCTAACTACATCTTATACTTAGATTCATACACTATGTTTAATCATGGTCGTGATGCTAGTACCCTGTCAGGGTAGTTAGCACCTCTTTTCTATCAGTTCAGGTCCTGCCCCTGTAGACAACTATATTCAAGCTGGAGAGGACTCAAACCTAGGTGATTAAAATGTATACACGCATCACACACACTGAGTAATGTTAGATGAATTAGATGTTACTATTATTGATGGTAAACTTAGCATATTTTTCCTTCTAACCAGTTATAAGTTTAGAATTGAAATTTTTAAAGAACGATATAACCCAATGGATCTGCAGGGACTTATGAACCCAATGGGGTACACTAGCTTCGGAGCTTAGAACATCCTGTGCGTGAAAACTTTTGGCAGATCATAAACAAATGAAAAACACAGAACATTTCTATGCCTAATATTTCATAAATCAAACACCGTTGTGATGTTTCCATGATTTCTATATATTTCTTCTAGCCTACACAACAATACAACATAATTCCTATCTTTGGACTGGCAGGTATTTCATTGTAATTGATGATTTATGGGAAAGAACATCTTGGAATATTGTGAAGAGTGCTTTTCCAGAGGATACTAATTGTAGTAGAATATTAATAACGACTGGTATTGAGAAAGTTGCTCTGGAGTGCTGCAAGTCCATAAGAGTTTTATCAAGTCAGGCAACCGAATCTGAGATATATTCCAACAACCATGTGAGAGCCCAAGTAGGTATTTATAAGGTGGAGCCACTGAGCACAGAAGACTCCACAGAGTTGTTCTTCAATGAAGTGTTTGGCTCGAACCATGAACACTCTAACAGCTCCAAGGAATATTCAGATGAGATTATAAAAATGTGTGGTGGCCTGCCACTATCAATCATTATGGTAGCTAATATTTTTGCAAGTCAACCAGATAATGCAGAGCTATGGCATCATGTGAAGAAATATTTAAAAACCAGCTTGGAAAATAATTTTTCTACAGAAAACATGATGAGAGAAATAGTAATCCTGAGCTATAATAATCTTTCACATCATCTGAAGACATGCCTACTACATCTTAACATGTATCCTGAGGGTTGTACATTCATGAAGGCCGATTTGGTGAAGCAATGGTGGGCCGAAGGTTTTGTCAGTGCAATAGCAGGCAAAGATATCAATGAAGTTGCAGAGTGTTATTTTGATGAGCTTGTCGGCAGAGGACTTATACAGCCTAACCATGTCAGTTTCTCAGATGAAGTGATCTTCTATACGGTGCACTCTACTGTTTTTGAAATTATTAGGAACAAGTCCATAGAGGAGAATTTCATCACTGGAGTAGACTACTCTGAAACCATTACAAAACTTTCTGCAAAGGTTCGTCGACTATATCTCAGCTTCAGTAATGCCAAATATGCAACCAAACCAAAAGACATCACACTGTCAACAGTTAGATCACTCACATTTTATGGACCTGTTCAGTGTCTGCCTTCTATTAGTGAATTCAAGTTACTTCGAGTTCTGATCCTTGAATTTTTGGTTGATACAAAAGACATAGATCTTAGTGGAATCTACAGATTATTTCAGCTGAGATATGTCCGGATTACAACTGATGATGATAACATTGTATATCTGCCGCCGTCGATGAAAGGATTAAAATATTTAGAGACACTGGAAGTATATGCACGTGTAAAGTCGATTCCATCGGATATTGTTCATCTCCCAAAATTGTTGCACCTGCGTCTTCAAGGTGAGATAAAACCTCCTGCATCTGTTGTCCATATGAAATCTGTACGCACACTTCAGTCTTTTGACCTCAGCAGTAATTCTGAAGATAATATACGGCAGTTGGGTGAGATGATGGACCTGCAAGATCTTCATCTCACATGTTCGACAGAAACATCTGACCTTCTAGAGAAAAACCTGATAGCTCTGGCTTCATCCCTTGGGAAACATGGCCAACTAAAATCTCTGGTTCTGGAACCTGGTGCTTTGCGCACAAGCATTTGCTTGGATTGCTCAAGCCGTGTGTCTTCTCCACCCGTTTCCCTTCAGAGACTTGAATTGTTGCCACCCCTTTGCATCTTTTCAAGACTTCCTGAATGGATTGGACAACTTCGAAAGCTATGCATTCTGAGAATTGTTGTTATGGAATTGACAAGGGATGATGTAAACAGAATCTCTGGACTGCAAGAACTCACTGTTCTCTCGTTGTATGTCATTCAACCAATTGCAGAGAGCATTATCTTCAGCCGTGCAGAATTTCCAGTTCTGAAGCATTTCAAGTTAAGATGTGGCATTCTGCGCCTTGAATTTCAGGCAGAAACGATGCCAAAGCTTCGGAGCCTCAATCTTGCATTCAATGCCCACAGTGGAGAGCAGTACGGGGATATGATTGCTGGCATTGAGAACTTATTAGACCTCCAAGGGATCATTGTACAAATTGGGACACCCCCAGGTGCAGAGGAATCAGACAGGATGGCTGCAGAATCTGTATTTAAAGGTGCCATTAGCAGGCATTCAAAACCTCCGAGCTTCAGCATACGAAGGGCTGATCTAGTTGAGGAAGAGTATGTGCCTTTCAACAACAACAACAACACAAAACCTCCGAGCATCAACATACGAAGGGCTGATCCAGTTGAGGAAGAGTATGTGCCTCCAAACAACAACAACAACAAAGCCTTTAAGTCCCAAACAGGTCGTGGTTGGCTAAAGTTGAAACCCAGCAGAAGCAATCAGGAAGAGTATGTGCCTTTCTTTTCATTAAATCCTCTTTGAAATCTTCATTTCTACTCACTACAAGCTGCTTCCATTGTTACCTTTTAAGATAGTGTAATAGGATGGCAAGAGAAGTAGGACTGATTGTGACCTAGCCGCGCATTGGGCGCATCCACGCCGGTGACCACGCGGTTGAAAGGTCCTATATGGCTAGAGGGGGGTGAATAGCCTAATAAAATTTCTACAAGGTACTAGAGCAACTTAATTAGTATGACAAAAGGCGTTAGCAAGTTTTGCTCTAGCTCTACTAAATGTTGCAAGCCACCTATCCAATCAATCTAGTGAATTATGATCACTATGTCACACAATTGACTAAGTTGCTAATCCTAATCTAGTGAGCTAGCTAGCAACTAAAACAAGTGACAAAACTAGCTACTCAACTAATTCCTACTAAAAGCAACTAGCTACTCAAACTATCACTACACAAGATATAGCTATGAATGTACTACAAGTGGTAGAAAAGTATACCGATCGTGGCAAGAGACAATCAATGAATACCAAATGAAATCCACGGAGACAAGTGACATAAGATTTTTTCCCAAGGTTCACTTGCTTGCCGGCAAGCTATATTCCCGTTGTGTCGATCGTTCATTTTGTGGTTCGTGAGCTAATAGGCGTCACAAACCTAGACTTATACAAAGGCGCCGCAAGAACCTACACAAATGAGAGTACTCACCGACACGAGCAATTTACTAGAGTGGCTTTTGGCGCTCCGCCAGGGAATAAGCCCAAGAACCCCTCACAATCGATGCCGGGTGTGTCTACGAACAATCACCAACTCGTGCCAACACTCCTCCGCTGCCCCAAGCCGTCTAAATGGCGGCGACCACCAAGAGTCACAAGAAATTCGCAGCAAAACAATCTCCAAGTGCCAATAGATGCAATCATTCAAGCAAATGCACTTTGGATCACTGCCAACTCACTTGGATGCACAATCAAGCAAGAGATTGAGCGAGAGAGGTTTGGCTTAGCTCACAAGGATGTATCAATAATCAAAATGTCAAAGAGAGTGAACTACAGCTGGCCAAGTTCTATTTATAGAGCCCCAAGCTCAACTAGCCATTACCCTCCACGAGGGCGTCTGGACCCTGCTCCGGACCCGTACTCCCGAGGGGTCCGGACCAATGGCTCCTGGTCCAGTTCCTCTCCTCGTCCAATCAGGCGCCGCCACATGTCCCAAACTTCAAATTCAAATGTTGCTGTGTGCAACGGTCACCTGCCACCGTCCAGACCGGACTCAACAGTCCCTAGTCCGGACCAATCTCCACACACGTCTGGAGTTACACACAGAGGTCCAGAACAGCCAAAATGGCTCCGGACCTAGTCCGGACCCACCGTCCAGACCATGCGCCACTGAGTTCGGACGGTTTTGGCTCCTCTCTGTCTGGTGAAATAATTCTTCGGACCGAGGCATGGTCCGGACCATCAATCGGACTGAGTCCGGAGCCAGCATTAGCACCTCTCGTCGCGCCACGTGGCCGGGGGTTCCAACCGGACCGAGCCACCATGGTTCGGATGCCCCGCGCCACCAGGGTCCAGAGCCAGTGCCTCAACACTGATCACCTAGGGTAAGGTTCTGGACCCATCACTGATGGTTCAGACCACCTTTGCCCTAGGGTCGGGAGCCTCTATCTTCTCCTTTTCCAACTTCTTTCTCCAACCCTTGTGCATGTGTGCCAACTCCAAGTATTTCAACACATGTGTACGTGAGTTAGCAACATTTTCAAAGTATTTTCAAGGGTTTCATATTATCACACTAGGTCATAATGCATATGCATGAACAATGTCATCTAGTGGCACTTGATAACCGCTTTAACCATGATTTTCTCCTCTTTATAGTACGACTATTTGTCCTAAACATAATCACACCTTCTAAGTTGTCTTGATTGGTAAAAACAAAATCCCTATTTATACCATTGTCATTATCTACATAGGGCTTTGTTTTTCTCTTTCTTCTTTCCCAAGTTGGAGCACTTGTTCATTATCTTTTGGCCATCTCCATCACCATGGATGCTATCTTGCTCCACCACTTGTACTTTGATACACTTAGACCAAGGGTTAATCCAGTAGGTTTCATCAATTAGCCAAAACCAAACTAGGGCTTTCAGCGGTCCCGCATGTCCACCTCCCCGGCGTCGCCGGCCCTTTGCCGTGTCGCCCTCTGCCACCTCTCCTCCCACCTTTTCTTGCACTTTCTCCACCAGATCTGTTGTGGCATGGAGCCTAGATCCACTTCTTGGTGGCCATGGCTTGGGTCGTCGCCCTCCCTGCCATCACGCCTCGTGGCGACAGCTGTGGAGATCTTGGCCACTCATCGGGCCTTCATCGTTTCATCGCTGGGCCTCAACCCCAATGTGGCTCCTTTCCTCGGGTCCCCGCACTCGATGCGCTCTTGCCACAGTCTGGGAGGGTGGTTGTGCTTCAGTGACTAGGAAGCCTCCTTTGGGGAGTCGGATCTACGTACCCTGGGGGTTGAGGTCAAGGGCAAGGCCGTCGCGGCAGACCAGGGCACCATAGGCACTGTTGACACCACCACCTTACCGTCATCGGGACGTGCTTGGTGGAGCAGCGAGCGATGCCACTCTTGCGCCGTCTCTATAGTTGTCTAGGCCGCGTGGGCTTTCACTTGTCACCAACCCTGCTCGGATGTCCTCTGCACTAGACGAGAACGGCTTTCGGCAGGTTCAGAACCGCTGCCGCTGGCGACGCAGGGTGCTCCGTTGCGCGACGCAGCCGGTTCTATCCAACCTTGTTTGCCTCTTCTTCAACAGCCTAGCTGACGACCATGTGAAGGCAGATTGTGTGTTGCGGCGCGCTGCCTCACGAACTGCGCCTGGGCCGCAATTCCTGGTGGCAAGAGAGAGTGGTCTCCTGCGTGTTCGGCTGGGCACCGTCACGGAGCACCACGCGCAGCGATTCTTGGAGGCAAAAGAGAGTTGTCTCCTGCGTACGTGTCCGGCTGGGTGTCGTCGTGGAGCACCTAGGCATCTATCTTCCACCATGTGGGACCATGCCTCTGCTGGGAACACGGATCGGCGCACTCGGCTTCCATAGGCCGTCCCCCCTCGGTTCCCTAATGTTGCATGCCCCCGAGTCCTGACCTCGCTCCCTCTTCGCCTCCCCCGATTGGTGACATTGCTGCGTAGCCACGGGTGGAACTCATGGTGATTCCCCATTCGTCGGAGCTTGTCTCTACGGAGGAAGAGATGTCGCTTGCTCTGGTCGCTCTCATTGGGGGGAATAGATTAGACGTTGCAACTAACGATTTCCCCTCTTTATAGTACGACTATATATTCTAAATCCAACCATGCACTCGCCTTGGTTGGCAAAAAGCAAAGCCCTATTTTATACTTTTGCCTTATGGCTTGCTTTTGCTCCATCTTCTCTTCATTAACACTTGCATACATGCGATCATGATCTACATATCCATCACTTCCTATGCCTTGTCCATCACATCAAGTGGACCCCAGATTAAACATACTCAATGAAAGCATTAGTCCACATGGTTGGCACTCAATTACCAAAACAAAAGTAGGAATTTCACAAGTGCCTATCCTTCGACTGCTCCGATCACGTTCTGCTACTCCTTTAGCTAAACATTGAGACTTGGTCCAAGCCACGGCTCAGGTTTGAGGCCATTTGGAAATGCTTCGACGGTTTCATCGATGTTTTCCGCCAAGCATGGGTGTGCCCCCTACAAAACGTCGATGCCTCCTAGGTTCTTGACTTCAAGCTTAGGAACATGACGAAGGCTCTTAGGAGCTGGAGCATGAAGTGTGTCAGCAATGTGCGCGAGCTAATTGCATAGCTCAACACGGCACATGACGTCAGGGATCTCACTAGCTACGAACTCGACTTGCGTAGAGAGTTGAAGCTTTGAAAGCCTAGGGCTAGCGTCGCTGGCAAGAACCGTGGCACGCCAGCGCTCTCGCATTAGGGCCCTCGAGAAAGGTGATGCCAACTTGAAATTCTTCCACTTACAAGCGTGTCATTGTAACTGTAAGAACTTCATTTGCCATTGAGCACAATGGACAAGGGTTCTCGGCGGACGAGATGAAATCAGAGCTCATCTTCTTGTACTACAACGACCTCCTTGGCAAGCAATTCAATCAGTTGTATTAGTTTGATCTGGAGGCCCTGGGTCTCTCGTGGTTGGGCCTATGCTCTCTTATTGCTGTTTCTTGGAAGACAAAATCTGGGCGTCAATTCATGAGCTTCCTGGGGACCGGACGAAGATTAAATCGTGTGGCCTGGGATGTCATCAAGGCCAATGTCATGAACGCGTTCAACGCATTGTGGCCCCTGGACGCACGGACCTTCTTTCTACTCAACGATGTGCTGGTCATGTTGCCTACCCATCTCAAGGACTACCGGCCCATCAGCCTCATGCATAGTTTCAGTATGCTATTTGCCAAGTGTCTATCCCGTCGCTTGGCCCCAAGGCTGAAAGAGATTGTCAAGGGCAACCAGAGCACGTTCATTCACGACAATTTCCAAGCTTTGCACCTGGCATGCCGGTGGCTGTATTGCAGGAGGGTGCGCCCAGTGTTCTCCTCAAAGTTGACATTGCTGAGGCCTTCGACTAGGCAGCCTAGTCATTCCTTCTTGAGGTTATGTAGCACAAAGGTCAACTACAACCACAAAGGTCTTGGTTAATGGCCAGCCCGTTAGGCGAATCTCACACGCCCGCGGTCTTCGCTAGGGTGATCCCATCTCTTCGATGCTCTTCGTCGTCGCGATGGAAGTACTTAACTCAATTATCATTGAAGCTGATGGCATCTGTTCACGCCGCTGCCTGGTTCTGTGATTCGCCACAGAGACACTCTCGTCGTCTTCCTCAGTCCATCGCAGAGAGATCTAGCATGCTTACGTGAGCTGCTAGAGTCGTTTGCTGGAGCCTCTAGGCTCATCACGAATGTCGACAAATGCCAAGTTTCGCCGATACTCTGCTCAGCTGAGGAGACCACAGCTAACCAGGCTGCTTTCCCCTATCAGATCACACTTTTCCCATGCAAGTACCTGGGCTTTCCACTCTCCATTCAAAGTCTTAGGCGCTGCGATGAGCAACTCCTCATCGATGCCAGGATACCGACATGGAAGTCAGGGCTCCTGACGTGTGCGGGGCGCGTGCTACTCACAAAAGTCATTCTCTCCATGATCCCAATTCACGTCTCCATCGCTACATGCCTATCGAATTGGGCGGTCAGGCAAATTGATAAGCGTCGTCGGGCATTTCTATGGGTGGATACTGAGGTAACAACAGTCCCATGGAGGACAGTCTGCAGCCCCTTGTTGCATTTCAGACTAAGCGTGATCGACCTGGGCTTGTTTGGATTCGCTCTCCACCTGCGCTGGGAATGGCTGAAGTGTGCCGAACCCGATTGCGGCTAGGTGCTGCTGCCATTCCTAGCTAGTCTTCACAAGCGCAAAATTCACTACCGTGTCATTGCAAACAAAAAAAAAATGATACTATCGTCACTTTTGTTGCATGTATGGTGCCCTCATCTCTTCTACGGTAGCGTCAATTAGGGAACAAAATATGAAAGGAGGAACAAATAAGGAAGATTTGAAGTTTCGCTGTCAAGTGAGGAAGGATAATTTATTTTGGAGTTAGATAGGGAAATTTCCAATAGAGAAAAGAACCACTTGCCGTCCTTGTCAATCTAAAGAAAATGTACTCCCTCTATTTTAAATTTTTTTTGAGGAAACAGGAGGGGTAGCCCCCTACTGGTTAATATATATTAATTAATTGCAGAAAAAGATGTGTCCAAGCAACAGAATTCAAGAAACAAAAAAGGACAGAAAGAATATTAAGAAGATCACAATTGGTGCTCTAGCCATTGTTATATAAGAGGGAAATATTTTTTCTTCGCTCTATGGGTAACCAGAGAGAGCTCTTTTTTGAAAATTGCCCTGCAATTTGGTATAGATGGCTGAATTCCTTGGAATATATGGTCATTCCTTGAGACCCAAATGCTCCAGCTCATTAGTATGATGATTTCCATGTAGAAGTTGACTCCCAACTGGTGCTGGAAGTGTTCCAGAGTAACGAAGAGTTCATCATCGGTGTCAATGCTAAGATTAAGACTGAACCAGCAAGCTTGAGCGAAGTCACACTTGAAGAATAGGTGTTCCAGGGTTTCCTCCGTAGGTTGGGTGCATAAGAAACAATCATAAGAGGGGAGATCCATGTTCTTCCCTCTATTTTAAATTGTAAGTCGTTTTAGCTAAATACATGATTTTTACTATGCATCTAGATATAATGTAGCGGGTAGCAAAAGCTATATACCTAGATAAGTCAAAACAACTTAATATTTGAAATGGAGGGAGTATAGAAAAACATATTCAAATCTGCGTACTACTCCCTAGCTTCTTGAAGCCACCAATCCGAAAAATCTTTGGACCATCTATGACAGGGAAGGAAATCACTAACCTGAGAAACCATCTCTTGCTGAGAAGACTATGTAAAATATTTGCTCTCTTAAAATAGAAGCCATTTATAGAAAAATCTCTAATCCAAAACTTGTAAAGAGCAATTAGGAGTACTCAAGAGAATTAGACTAGGCAGTACTATTGGACCAGATTCTTATCTATGGCAAGAATTAGAGGGTCTTAAAGAGTCAAAACTAGGTCATGAGAGAGCAACGGCCAGTCATACTCTTTTAGAGTTGTACTTAAAAATTTTTTTGTTACGTCCGCAAAAATCCTAACCTCTTGTCGTGATTGTTTCAACATTATATTGCCATTTATGGTTTTCTACAAGACTCGCCTATGTCTCTTGATACAGTGCAAGTTTGTGTGATACTTGCAATATCTTTTTTAAAGATGCGATGACTGCTGAGTATAACCAGGGGTATGAAATTCTAATAATAAGTATGCGCCCTTGTATTTTTACAAAGCATGCTTGCCAAAAATATTTCTCTGGACAAAAATTGTCTAAAGCCGATGTTCATTTTTTGCCCCAAGGGCAATAAAATTCTCATAGGTCATGAAACTGGATCAAAATCGAAGCGTCGTAGAAACAATTTGTTTTGGCCCCCGCACCTGCTTGGTGGATGTAGATTTTGCTACAATCATAGCCACTCTTTTCTCCATTGTTCCTTTCGTGTGTATTCAATGTACTCTTGTCTCACTATAACTCATGTTGTCTTATGTGACAAGTTTGTTTACTACTTTTCTCTCCAATATTTCCACATATATGTGGTACTTCTATGACAATACCTGTTTTAACGAAATGGATGTGATTTTTTCTCAGGATTCCCCTGTTTTCTAGTCCACCAGTATGCTTCTCTCGTCCAGGTAATTCTGTTGCACTGCGCATAAGTTTTTTTTCAAGATATTCATTCCTCTGATGAAAAGTTAGATCTATGTCAATGTGTCAATTGCTGTTTAAACATACGCCATTGCTTTTAAAATTCAGACTTACTAGTAGATATGCACCTGTCCACTTATGTGTTTAAACAATTCTTCATAATAGAGTTAAAAAAAAGTTGACCTGTGGGGGTAATACAATCCCAGGTATTTTGTTTTAGAAGAAGACCATCTCATGCAGGCCGAGAAAATGTCCGAACCCTGTCTTACTCATACACAACGACACCTTAGTCCTTGTGATAAGGACACGGCCTGGGCATAGTCTTAGACCTATGTTTTGGCGTGGGACAGCCGAAGAGTTTTTTTTTAACTCCAGCCTGAAATTCGCTCCCACGGGGAGTCAAGCCTAGGACATGATGAGTGCTAGTAGAGTCACCTAAGAGCATCTCCAACAGGGACCCTAAACAGGTCTCTACTTTACTTTTTGGTGGCAGAGTAAAAAACTGAATCCAATGTAGCCCTAACTCGGGTCCCTACTTTGTGGTGGTTCTAAAATGCCCCCTCTCAGCCTCATCTCTCAGGGGGTATAGGGATATCTCTACTTCTTCCTAGGAAAAAACTTCTCCACCAGCTCACTGTTATGCATCTTTTTCTTTTTATCATGAATCTCTCTTGCGTCGCCGCCATCTTCCCTTCTCGACACGGCTCTCGACGAACCCCTTGGCCTAGCCTGACTCCCCTCTTGGCACCCATCCGTCAACGAGGTCCAATGCGGCTCCTCTGCCGTCTCCGGTGCCCGTCTCAGTGCGCCTCCCCTTTTTGCACCCGTCTCGTCCCCCGACAAGGTTGTTGTCTCCGGTGCTCCTCGCCCCACGCCCCATAGCTCAGTCAATTGGAATGATGATGGTGCTCCACTCCACATAGCTTAGTCGATTAGAACGATAATGGATATGGCCGAATGACTAGTGGTCCTATATGCCGGTGTCTATTAGAATGGATTTGAGGCTCATGTTGGAGTGGATGCAAAAAAAAAAAAAACACCCATAAAAGTAACGAGAGCCCTCAAATTAAAAGTAAGGGCCTAATTTAAGGGCTCCTGTTGGAGTTGTTCTAACACAAACTTAGCTAAAGGCCCGTTCGCTCTTCATTATAGAGTTGTGAGTTCAAAATTTCAAAATCAAATTTATTTATTTTTGTTTTTTTGTAGAGAGGTTGGGAATATCTAGTTCAAATATCATATATATACAGTAGCAAGGATGCTAAATCCATATATTCAGGAATCTTTGTCTCGGTCTTTGTACTTTGTTCATAACATTTAATACGTATGTTTTAAACAAAGAAATGCATGATTTATCGCAAGCTTGTTGCGAAAATGATTTTTCGCAATATTACCGCCTGAACATTAGATAAGGTGATGAAAAAATCAAAATAAATCAGAGGGTTGTTTATTGATTTAGGATTTAGGATATATGTCAAAATTTAAAGTGTACTAATTATCATCATAGAATTGCCATTAATTAGTTGAGCCTGGACATCTCCATTAAGTTACAGGAGCACGAAAATACTTCAAAATTAACAAATATATAAAAACACCATCAGTACAAAGTACAAACACCAAGTTCCATCAAAAAGTATAAAAACCTGGTGTGCAGGGTCTGTAATTGGGGGGTGGGGGAGGGATGGGGATAGGCGGATAGCAAAACAAATATCTGATCTATAAATGTGAGAGTTCCATTGCCGACTAGACATGGATCGTGGCTGTTCCAAACCATAAACCTCGCTCCTCACCAGGTGTGCAACAGGGGGCCAAAAGCTCTATCGGTGGTGATGTACCATTGTTTCCTCCTCATCCTTCTTAATTCTCTTTGCTTCGTAGGATATGTCTGCAGTGTTATAGCTAATATGATAATTTATCTAAGATACAGTCAATAGAATCATCCATTGATTTGAAGATTGAAAAGAACTGATAAGAGTAGCTAATTGCCTTACATCCGGCACGGACCCCTGTTTCAATACGTGCTACAGGTGGTATATGAAATTTATAATTAGCTACTCTTAGCACTACACACCCTTCCTTTGTATATGGGTTATCCATCCTGAGAGTAACTGGACTTGAGAACGAACAATGAATTTGACAATCCTAAAATTACAAGTACAACAGGAAGGGTGATATCAGCAATCTATATTTATTTAGAAAAAAATAGAATATGTGAATTTAATATTTCTAACAATGCCGATTGGGATAAACAAAGCAAGAGAAAAATACAAAATGCTAACGAGGTTCAGATCAAAGTAATATGATTATATTATATGAAGAATTGGGCATGGGAGGAAACAGAGCAATATACTCCATTCGTCTTGAAATATAAGGTATTCTAGAAAGTTTAGAACAAAATATGGGGTAATGCATTGACGCATGTAACCCTCCCTGAATTATAGAGAGACTTTGCGTTTACTATATTTTGAGCCTGGTTGTAGACACTAATGCTAGGTACACATGTGATAGAGACTTTGAGGGAGTTAATTCACCTAGAATTTCTAAAAAAAAAAGAGAATGCCTTATAATTTGGGACAAATTTTGAATGCTTTAATACCTTTAGGACAGAGGGAGTATATATAATATAATCTATAAATTAAAAAGGCAAGTCCTAAGGCCACTTGAACAATAAATATTGTCAGTTCGTATTTAGAATCAGAGGAATGCGAACAAACATTTATCCCGTGCGGTAGTTTCAGACACCTATTATTGAAGATAATTGAACTTGAACCACTTACCTTCGAGAGTAAGTGCCATCTGAATTTCGATGGTTGGCTTCGGACGATTAATAGTACAACTGTAGAAGTAAAGAATACTGGAGTACTTACTGTGAAAAACAAGTCAAATGTCAGCGAGCTCACCGTTCAGCCATCCAGGCCAAGCGCCCAAGCATCCTTCCCGAGTCCCGACATCCTTCACATGTGGCCACTACCGATCTACCAGCAGGTACCAGACATTACCTCCAATGCTCCCACTTCAACCTGGCACCACTGGAAGGGAGGGACGCAAAGGATAAAAGGAAAGTGACAGTCCGCGAACCATAGGAAGGTTGATCATCTATCTGCCGTGTGATCGATGGGATATTGGGCAGCCGGTTAAACCTAATTAATCACCGCGGTGAAAAAAAACCGTGCATGGTTGCATAGGTAAAACTAGAAATGGCTATATCAACTCTGTCATTTTGGAACTGCCTGTTATGTATGGTCCACTGATTTTTAGGTTATGCTTGGTTCAGCTTCGGGTGGAACTTGTAACTACTTTTCTAGAAGTGGTTGTTTTCGCGCAGTTCAATTTGCATAGCACATTGGATCTTGCTTCTGGCTTTCTGCTTTTCCAAATTGATAGAAATAGAGAGACGTTTTATAGTTGTTTAATGGAGATAGAGAGATTGTGTAGGTTTTATAGTTGTTTCAACCAAATAGTTTATAGCTTTTTTCACAATACATAGCTCACAGCTGAACCAAATAGACCCTTAGTTCTTAGATCTATTTTTTCATAGGACATCCAATGGCTAAAAACAATAGGTAGGTAGGAATCAAATGCGTACGGAATATTTATCCACTACCAAAATGGAGTAGTTCTCCCGATCAAAAAAAAAAAAGAAAAGAAAATGGTGGAGTTCTCCTAGTGCACTAAGTAGTAATAAGAACACTACCGCCAGTCGTAGCACATGGGAATCCTAGGCGTTTGATCGGGAAAAGCTCATACTAAATGTTGAATGCTAAATATAGGAGAACCCCACATCACTAGGAGAAAATACAAATTCTGGTGATGATCCATTCTCTCGTTCTTTTTATAATATAGAATATAGATATAGAATAAATAGATAGAGATAGATAATATCACTATGTAAACCTTGTTCTGTTTATGCCACCGCCATACCATTTTTTTTTCCAAACTGGTTTGATTTATGCCACTTGAAGTGGTTTGGTTTACACTAGCGTAAATAAAACAAGTTTTGAATACTGGTGCGTCTAAATATTATTACAAAAGCCGTGATGGCAACTAACAATACCATAATTAACGTAGTTGTACAAATCTAATTCTCCCATTTAAAGCATACTGGTGCCATACGTGAAGCAGTCATATAGAAAAGGCTAGGCCACAGAGAACGGCGCATCAGCGTGGTGGTGTTTATGTGTCTGGTACGTTTGCAGACACAGGACGTATGTCTTATGTAGCTTTCCAGAGAGACGAAGCCATGGGCGCATGGCTGATAATAGCTATCATGGCATCTTCTGTTACTAGTAATAAATAAAGTCAATAATAACCTCAACGGTTACTTAGTAATGAATACCACTTATCAGTTACAAACTGCAAAAAAGACACTTGCGCGCGTTGAGACCTTGCCTCGGCTCAGCACGCATGTGCGTGTAGCATTCCATTTGCCATCCTCAACTTGTCAACACGTGCACATATTTGCAACCTATTTAAGGAGGCATCCTCTTGTGCGTGTCCCATACATAACTAACATTAATTACACATAGCATTAATCACGGCCTTGATTTTTTTTTATTTAATTGCTAAATAGAAATGGGCTAGGCCCAATTAAAGCTAACTTATGTTACTCCCTTCCGTGCTTAATAACTAATAAATCAATTTTTGGAGTTATTCTAAGTCATTTAAAAATTTTGATTAAATTTTATAGGAAAAGGCTAATATATGATACAGTATTAGTATAGTTAGATACTGTTAGAGTATTTATTTCCTCTATCAATTACTTTGTATCGGCTGCCTCTTGGGTTTCTACCCAGTGTGCTGCCTAGGGACTCCCGCCATGTTGCCTGGGACTTCCCCCCTCTTAACTCTCTAGCTTAGCCTCTCTCTATAAATATGTAACCCTCTTGTAATCTCATTATCAAGTAATCTAAGCCTCTTGGCCATCCTCTATCATGGTATCTAACCCTCCTTCGATGTAACAGCTCAGGGCCGCTCTACACCTTGCAGCTCCCGTCGTCGCCTTCTGACCCTTGTGCTCTTGTGGCCACTCCTTCTCCAACTACCTGGCATCGTCGTCTCGGCCACCCCGGCAGAGCTGCCCTTCAGAGTCTTGCCCAGTCATCTTCCATTTTCTGCAGCAAGTCTACAGATGACTCCATCTGCCATGCCTGCCAGCTTGGGCGCCATGTTCGCTTGCCTTTTACTAGTTCCTTGTCTAGAGCACCTAAAAATTTCGATCTGATACATTGTGACCTGTGGACATCCCCTATTGTCAGTGTATCCGGATTTAAATATTATCTCGTTATTCTCGATGATTGCTCTTATTTTCTTTGGACTTTTCCTCTTCGATTAAAGTCCGACACTTTTACTGTCCTCTCCAATTTCTTCGCCTCTGTGCACACTCAGTTTGGTTGTACCATCAAATCCATGCAATGTGACAACGGTCGTGAGTTTGACAACTCTGCGTCTCGTGCTTTCTTTCTTGCCAAAGGTGTTTCTCTTAGCATGTCATGCCCCTACACCTCGCAGCAAAATGGCAAAGCCGAACGCATGCGTCACACCACCAACAATGTCACCCGCACCCTGCTCTTCCAAGCATCCATGCCTCCCTCCTACTGGGCCGATGCACTTGCTACTGCCACCCACCTCATAAATCGCCTCCCCACCAAAACGCTTAACATGAGCACTCCCTTCTTCGCACTCTATGGCACTCACCCTTCCTATCATGACCTTTGGGCCTTCGGGTGTACCTGCTACCCTAATCTCACCGCTACCACTCCTCACAAACTTGCCCCGCGCTCTTCTTTATGCGTTTTCATTGGCTACTCTCCCGACCACAAGGGTTACAGGTGCCTTGACCTCGCCACAAACCGTGTCATCATCTCTCGCCACGTTGTTTTCGACGAAACAACGTTCCCTTTCTCACTTCGCCGGCCCTCACCGCCTACACACGAACTGGATTTTCTAATTGATGACGACCCTCTGTTAGTCCCTTTTCTCCCTGCAGGTACACCTGGCGTCGCTGCCACCCTGCCAGCACCTGCACCTCTGCGGGCCCCCTCCTAGCCGGTGCCTTCAGTCACCCCGGCGCCGGGACCAGGCACGCCAGCGTCCCGGTCTCCTCCACCTGGCTTCACCGCGCCCATGGCGCCCCCTCCACCGGCGCCCGCTGTACAGGCGCCCACGGTGCCCCCTGTGCAGGCGCCCCCGGCTTCCTCCTTCAGCAAGCCGCCCGTCGTCCACGTCTACACCCGGCGTGCCCCCGCACCCAGCTCGCCACCTAAGTCCCCTGCTGGGGCTCCTCCTCGACGCTCCGGCATGATTCCCTCTCCACCGCGCTACGTCAAGAGCGGTCCTCCACTGCCAACAGGAGCGGTCTCCATCCCGCCACTCTCCAACTCTCATGGCATGGCGACCCGCGGGAAGTCCGGATACAAGCAGCCTCACCTTGCTCTACACACCGAGGCTCTGTCCCCCTTCTTGGGTCAGTCCTGTCTGTGGACGCTCTTGCTAATCCAAGACAAGGGCGTCGGGCCATGGAAGAAGAATTCGCTGCCCTCTTGGACAACCACACTTGGGATCTCGTTCCTCGGCCTGCCAAGGCAAATGTGGTCACCGGAAAATGGGTCTTCAAACACAAGTTTCATGCTGATGGCTCCTTGGACAGATACAAGGCTCGTGGGGTGCTCCGTGGGTTCACACAGCGCCCCAGAGTGGATTACGATGAAACTTTCAGTCCCGTCGTCAAGCCCGCTACCGTTCGCACCGTCCTCACTTTGGCTCACTCTCGGGACTGGCCGATCCATCAACTTGATGTGAAGAATGCTTTCCTTCACGGGACATTGTCAGAAATGGTGTACTGCTCTTAGCCCACTGGTTCTGCCGATCCTGCTCTTCCTGAACACGTCTGCAGGCTCAACAAGTCCCTCTACGGTTTGAAGCAGGCACCGCGAGCATGGTACAGCCGGTTTGCTTCTTATATGCTCTCTCTGGGTTTCACTGAAGCCAAGTCCGACACCTCCCTTTTCATCTATCACCGCGGCACCGAGACAGTCTACTTGCTCCTATATGTGGATGATATTGTTGTTACAGCCTCCTCTCAGCCGCTCTTATATCGGGTGATTGATGCACTGAAGAAGGAATTTGCCATGAAGGATCTTGGTTCCCTACACCATTTTCTTGGCGTGGCAGTTCAGCGACAGAAGAACACTCTATTTCTCTCACAGCGTCAGTACACTCTGGACATTCTTGCTCTCCATGGCATGAGCGACTGCAAGCCTTGTTCCACTCCTGTTGACACTTGTGCCAAAGCCTCTGCTGATGTCGGCCCCTCTGTTGATGATCCTACAGCATACCGCAGCCTTGTGGGTGCTCTCCAGTACCTAACTTTCACTCGGCCTGACATCGCGTACGCTGTTCAACAAGTCTGCCTGCACATGCATGATCCCCGGGAAGTTCATCTTGTTGCCGCCAAGCGGATTCTTCGCTACCTTCAGGGCACTATCGGCTTTGGTCTTGTCATTCCCCGCTCTGCCCCGACTCAGCTCATCGTCTACACCGGACGCTGACTGGGCTGGCTGCCCTGACACCCGCCGTTCCACCTCCGGCTATGCTGTCTTCCTCGGTGGCAGCCTCATCTCCTGGTCATCCAAGCGCCAGCCCACTGTTTCACGGTCGAGCGCCGAGGCCGAATACCGTGCAGTTGCCAACGGCGTCGCCGCAGCCTCCTGGCTGCGGCAACTTCTACAGGAGCTGCATCATCCTTTGGATTCTGCTTGCCTCGTCTACTGCGACAACGTCAACGCCGTCTACCTCTCCACCAAGCCCGTTCAGCATCAGCGTACCAAGCACGTGGAAATCGACCTTCACTTCGTCTGGGAACGGGTCGCCCTTGGGGCTATCTGTGTGCTTCACGTTCCCACCACGTCGCAGTTCGCCAATGTCTTCACCAAGGGCCTTCCTTCTGTTTTTATGGAGTTTCGCTCCAGTCTGAACGTTCGTTCTAACGACGTTCCGACTGCGGGGGGTGTTAGAGTATTTATTTCCTCTATCAATTACTTTGTATCGGCTGCCTCTTGGGTTTCTACCCAGTGTGCTGCCTAGGGACTCCCGGCATGTTGCCTGGGACTTCCCCCCTCTTAACTCTCTAGCTTAGCCTCTCTCTATAAATATGTAACCCTCTTGTAATCTCATTATCAAGTAATCTAAGCCTCTTGGCCTTCCTCTATCAGATACAACATGAAATATATTTTTGTATTATACTTTTTTGTTGTCATAGATGTTACGTTTTGTATAAAATTGGTTAAACTAACTTAAGACAAATTTAGATGAGTTGACTTATTCTAGTAGGAAGGGATTAGCAAAAAGTTAGTCCCATTGAGAGAATCACAGCTAGCCTATGTGATGGTCATTAATTGACATTTGAGTTGGATTGCCTGTACGCTGGAGAAACTCCAATGGAGTAAGGTTTTTTTGTATTGTAACATATATGGTTGTCTTTGTTTATAAATAATAACAACCCTTGTTCATCTACAGTCTCAATCCATGGAAAGACATAGGCACTTTAGATTCTTTTAGATCTTTCTTGTGCTTTTTTGTTTTTATTAATTTTAAAACATCATTTTTATGGCATCCTAAATTTATATTCACTAGGCTAGAATGTTGTCGGGTGCACAATTTAAAAACTGGAATTTCAACAAATGAAATTGATTTACCATTTATTGCAGACTCTTTGCTTATTAGTATAGATTAACACACAAAATTGTGCTTTTTTGCCCAACAGAACGAATGCTTTCCAAACTATGTTGTGTACACTTGGTTCTTTTTCACAGTTTTTATTTTTTAACTAAAGAACAATGTTCAATTGTGTACTCATTTTTCCAGAAATGCTGAATAGGCTTACCACAGCTAATGTAACCAGTGAAGTAAATGAGATACATGTTGCTCACGACAATGAACTCAGGGCTACAAGCGATCAAGTCTCACTGACGGACCAGGTACTTGACAATCCTATGATTATTCTTACATTTTAACAATATAAGGTGTATATGTTTGAACTAAATAAATATATTACTCCGTACCAAAATCGTTGATACTTTAGCTATGAAATATTCATAGCTAAGTGTCAATTATTTTGAGACAGGCAGTATTTGGAAGGTGGTAGAATAAAGACGTTGAATTGGTCACAGCACATATTATGAAATCTAGAAAAACAAACAGTATAAATGACCATGTTCAATTAAGAAATGTAAATCTTCCTTTGGTACCCCTCGTAGCCGTCACTGACCATATAGAACGTGTTGGATAAATTAGGCATTTGTAGGATTATATTTCGAATGTAAATCATGATACAGGTAATATATGCATGATTTTAGTACAAATTAAACAAAGCATGCTATTCTCATAAATTAGTGTACATGCAAACAAATAGTACTCAAAGCAATAGCCATAATAGAATGGTTTAGAAAATTACACCCATGAGTAGGACCATTGCCGGGAGCCACAATGGTGACCAAGTAGCCGAATGTCTGCAGTTGATGTTGTTGTGGCTAGTGGATTGGAGGAGCCATGTTGTTAATGATGACATATGGGAGGACTGGTTGGAACAGTCGATGATGTGAAGACTACAGCACGAAACAAAGCTGGACTTGGCCAGAAGATAACCCATGGTGAAGAACGCGAGGAGTCATCTGAAGCGCTTCCAAAAAAACTTATGTGTTGCTGACACCAATGATGGCAAACCCATAAAACTACAAGCGCACGTCTGTCAAAGTAGCTTTCACCTAGGAGTGTTCCAATATATCGATTTTCACGGTGAACATTAGTGTACTTTAACTAAGAAACAAAACGGTCCCATGATAGCAAGAGGGGTCATAGGTTCGGTAGAGAGGATCTTGATTGTTATTATAGACGATAAAGCAAGGATACACTTTAGTTATTTACTTCATAACATTGACCCTGATAGGATCAAGGAGTTGACTAAAGGGGGGTGAATAGTTGTTTTTAGACCCTGGTAGGATCAAGAAGTTGACTAAAGGGGGGTGAATAGTTTTTAAAATTTAATCGCGCCGGTTAACAAAAGCAAATGCGGAATTAAACTAGTTGGTCTGGCCTTGACTACACCCCTCAATCTATGTTCACAAGCATCATACAAAGATCCTTTAAGAAACTAATAAGGTGTCGAGCTAGAGAGCTCGCCTAAATAAATCTAGTTAGTAAGGTTATACAAACCTATGCAACTAGTCAACTAAGCACACCGGGAGCTCTTACACATACTAGTGAGCAATGCTCAGAAAGCCTAAGCGACACTAGTACTACTTACTAGCTACACTAGCACAACTAGACAGCTAAACAACGTAGCTACACAAGCTGAGCTTAGTGTCACATTGTGACATGAAGCAATGTGGTGATGTTGGAGAGCTTGTAGAAGCATCACTCTCATAGCCCGAGCATGAATCATCATCATCATGAAGTGTGCTTGGAATGGAATCATTATTTGCATCACTTGAGCCATCACCATCAATCTTGTCAAGTGAACTTGTGATAGATCTTTCATCATCATCACTTGACCATGTGGTGAAGCAATCTTCCACAATCACGATGTTGTGGATGTGCTCAACATCCTTATGTGCCTTCTCCTTGAGATCGTCATCGTCGTCATCATCATCATCAATAGAGACCGTCCCATATTTTTCATTGAGATAAATCCAAATCTCATGGGCGGTTTTCATGTCCATGATCTCTCCAAAGATGCTATCTTCCATAGATCGATATATAATGTTAGTAGCTTGATTTTCGAGATCTAGGCATTTTTATTGTGCTTGAGTTAGATTCTCTTCATCCAATACATGAGAAAAGCCTACATCTACGATCCACTAAATTTGAGCGCAACAACAACAACAAAGCATTTAAGTCCCAAACAAGTTGGGGTAGGCTAGAGTTAAAACCCAGCAGAAGTAATCAAGGTTCAGGCACGTGAATAACTGTTTTCCAAGCACTCCTATCTAAGGTTAAGTTTTTGGGTATATTCCATCCTTTTAAGTCTCCTTTTATTGCCTCTACCCAAATCAACTTCGGTCTTCCTCTGCCTCTCTGCACGTTACTATCCTGGTTTAGGATTCTACTACGCACCGGCGCCTCTGGAGGTCTCCGTTGGACATGTCCAAACCATCTCAACCGATGTTGGACAAGCTTTTCTTCAATTGGTGTTACCCTTAATCTATCACGTATATCATCGTTCCGAACTCGATCCCTTCTTGTATGACCGCATATCCAACGCAACATACGTATTTCCGTAACACTTATCTGTTGAACATGTCGTCTTTACGTAGACCAATATTCTGCACCATACAACATAGCAGGTCTAATTGCCGTCCTATAAAACTTGTCTTTTAGCTTCTGTGGCGCTACTTCATCCACCCTGCTTTGATTCTATGGCTAACATCTTCATCAATATCCCCGTCTCTCTTTAGCATTGATCCTAAATATCGAAAGGTATCCTTCCTAGGCACTACTTGTCCTTCCAAACTAATATCTTCCTCCTCCCGAGTAGTAGTGTCGAAGTCACATCTCATATACTCAGTTTTAGTTCTACTGAGTCTAAAACCTTTGGACTCCAAAGTCTTCCGCCATAACTCAAGTTTCTAATTCACTCCTGTCCGGCTTTCATCAATTAATACTACATCATCCGCAAAAAGCATACACCAAGGGATGTCTCCTTGTATGTCCCTTGTGACCTTATCCATCACTAAGGCAAACAGATAAGGGCTCAAAGCTGACCCTTGATGTAGTCCTATCCTAATCGGGAAGTCATCCGTGTCTCCATCACTTGTTCGAACACTAGTCACAACATTGTTGTACATGTCCTTAATGATCCCGATGTACTTTATTGGGACTTTATGTTTGTCCAAAGCCCACCACATAACATTCTTTAGTATTTTATCATAAGCTTTCTCCAAAATGTTTGAGCGCAAATGAACTTAAAATTATTAATCATCCATTTTTTTCACCGTGTAAAGTGTGTGCCATAAAAAATGTGTAGACACTCAACATCTGGCCCATAAGTCACCATCCTCTCGGGTCAGTGAAAACCATAAATGAGAGACCACACTCGGATACCACTTGTAGGGTCGAGATGGCAGACTAGAGGGTGGTGAATAGTTATTTTTAAAATTAATCGCACCGGCTAACCGAAACAAATGCAGAATTAAAACTATCGGTTTAGCTAAGACTACACCCCTCTATCTATATTCTCATGCATCTTACAAAGATCCCAATTAAGCAACTAAGGTGCCAGACTAGTTTGAGCTCACCTACACAATTCTAGTTAGCAAGGTCAAACAAACCTATGCTATTAGTATTTCAAGCGACCGAGGAGCTCCTACACATACTAGTGAGCAAAGCGCATAAAGCCTAAGCCAACAATTAGTTCTCAATAGCATGGCTCCACAAACTAAACTAGAGAGCTGAAATTATTTAGCTACATAAAATAAGCAATGTAACTAGCAAGGCTACACAAGCCAACTAGTTATGCAAGAGAGCAACTATTTTATTACTAAAGTAAACTAGCTTCACAAGAGCAACAATACAAGCACAATATACGAATAAGTAAATACAAACATGTGTTTGGAGATTGCAAACCAACGGGAAGATGATGACATGATGATTTTTATCCTGGGGTTTGGTGATTTGCCAACCACTTAATCCGTGTTGAGACAAGCTCAAGGATGCTGCCGGTCTTCTTGCTAGTGGTGACCTGCAAGTCACACTCTTTCACGTGGAGTGCTTACCACAAACTCTAGCACTTGACATATGGCCGGACCACTTGACGCTCTTCACATCTCGCTCTACTAGAGTTTCTCTTTGCGTCTGCTGTGGGGCGAGCACGACACCCCTCACAAAGCCTTCTCCAGAGCCACGCAAAAGTTTCTTGCGTGCTTCGACGGAGACCACGCCACCAAGCCGTCTAGGAGGTGGCAACATCCAAGAGTAACAAGCACCACCGGCTTGCAACTCGATCACCTAGTGCCAACACTTGCAATCTCTCAATGCAACGCACTAGAATCACTCACTCGTAATTGGATGCAATCACAATGTGCACAAGTGAGTTAGAGGGCTTCCTAAGCACACCTACACAAGCCACAAAGGCCTGGGTGCTTAGCTACCAGCCAAAGCCATCGAAGGGTCTAATTTATAGACCCCAACCAGAGTGTGCCGTTTCTGCCCTCACTAGGCGCGCAGACCGACCGTCAGACCATGCTGTTAGGGCCGTCAGACCGTCCGATGGTGGGTCCGACACCCCATTGGCTGCCACATGTAGTGACCGTTTGAAGGGAGCCGTTACTTCCCAACGGCTAGCTCGCATGCCACCTGATCACCAAGGTTTGGCAACCATCAGACTGTGTGTAGGACTCTTTTGCGCCAGCGTCCGACGCCCCCACAAAACCATGCAGAGAGCTCCTGAGAGCTCCCAACACCGTCGGACCGAGTCTGACGCTGACCGTCGGACCAGTGGTCATGGTCTGACGCCTCTCCAAACGCCACCACAAACGCACCATGTGTTCACCCTTTGGTGAACAGTGCTAGCAGCTAGTTCGACGCCTCTCTTGAGCTCGGTCTGACACTCCTGCGCTGTTCTTTGTCGCCTAGGGTAAGCCGTCGGACCCAGCCGAACTAGTCGGACGCTCCTTACGGCTATGGTCCGACGTCCTGCCAGCACGCACCCGAGAGTTAGGTTTGCCATCGGACCCGACCACCAATGGTTCGACGCCCCTCCTAGCCAAGGTTCAACGACCCTAGAAGCACTTCCAAGCTTCAAAACTTCTCCTTTGTAAATGTGCCAACACCACCAAGTGTATACCACCTTGTGCAAGTGTGTTAGCTTTTTACAAACATATTTCCAAAGGATTTTTTTTCACTCTTTTCACTATGCCACTCGATCCTAGCACGTATGCAAAGTTAGATCACTCGAGTGGCATTAGATAACCGATATGCAAAA